TACTATAGCCACAGCTCTTCACAAATAATCGACCACCCTTTGCCGCGCACCTCTTTCCAGCTTTAATCAGTCCTAAGAAATCACATTTAATAATACGTATGCAAATTTTGTTTCGCGCATACGCAGTGAGCTTTCATTACCGTCGAGTGCGCAGATCCTGCCATAATAGCTTTCTATTGCGCATCTCAAATGCCCTACTTGTGTACAGTTCAACTGCATGGCAAGACACGAACTGCACAACTCCATATCTAATAGATAGCTCAAAAGCCCACTGCGCTACTGGTTAGTGGTGCAGTGGGCTTAGTGTGATTACATTAACTAGTCACAGCTCTTCACAAAGAATTGACATCCCTTTGCCGCGCATCCCTTTTCAGCTTTAATCAGTTGTAAGAATTCATATTTAATAATACGTATGCAAATTTTGTTTCGCGCATGCGCATTGAGCTTCCATTACCGTCGAGTGCGCAGATCCTGCCGTAATAGAATTCTACTGCGCATCTAAAATACCCTACTTGTGTACAGTTAAACTGCATGCCACGACACGAACTGCGCAACTCCATCTCTAGTAGTTAGCTCAAAAACCCACTGCGTTACTAGCCACATAAACTAGTCACAACTCTTTACAAAGAATTGACCTTCCTTTGCCGCGCATCTCTTTCCAGCTTGGATCAGGTGTAAGAATTCATATTTAATAATATTTATGCAAATCTTGTTTCGCGCATGCGTATTGAGCTTTCAATACCGTTGAGTGCGCAGATCCCAGAGTAATAGCTTTCTACTGCGCATCGAAAATGCCTTACTTGTGTACAGTTCAACTGCATGTCACGACACAAACTGCGCAACTCCATCTCTAATAATTATCTCAAAAGCCCACTGCGCTACTAGCCACATTAACTAGTCACATTTCTTCACAAAGAATCGACCTCTCTTTGCCACGCATTCCTTTCCAGCTTTAATAAGTTGTAAGAATTCACATTTAGTAATACGTGTACAAATTTTCCTCCGCCAATACGTATTATGTTTCGCGCATGCGCATTATATTTTCACATGCGATTTATGGTATGACTTACTGACCTTCAGTAACCTTCAGTGATTTCTAGTAACTTCCTCCGTTAGCTTCCACGGAGTATACAATGAACTCGATTTTCCCCTCGCGTCGCTTCCATATTTGTTTTGAACATTTAATATTCGTAATTAAAAGACAAACTTTAACATTCGACCTTACCTTGAATATTTTCCATACCATAATTTAAATGTCCACACAATAATTGGGGGCTATGAATTTCTATACACAATAATATACAAAATGCTGAAACTACGTTAAAATAATAAACGATGTAGAGGGCGCCACTTCCCAGTAACTGCAAAGTGCCCATAACCATAGGTGAATTAACTAATGTATAGATGTGTATACAACAGTTCAATTTACCACATTGTGGGGACTATAGAAATGTTCATATAACTTTCGTGAAAGAAGAGATAAAATAATATAAAATAAATAACCAACATAGCAAGAAATAATAGAATAGTGATATTAGAACGTGGTTTAAAGGTTAATTAATATACATGAGGAAACAGCATTTTCAGTGAAAAATATAGTGGGGACGCGTTTGTGTCCCCACTAATTTTGAAGTCCCCACAGTCCTGGTTTTTAGTCGATGAAAAACCCCACAATAAATGCAAGACATACGCACCCACACACACACACCTACACACACACAGACATACACACGCGCATCGATAGAAATCATTTGGAAAATAGTCAGAATGGATCAGGAGAGTTCAAAACGTATATGTTAATCAAAATCTCGAGGTCGAAAAAAATACTATACTTCCTTATATTAGGTATAAGAAAGTAAAAACAATGATGTCACAACTAACACAGATAACGTTATGAATTCGAAAGGTATGTCAAAGGATGTGCAGTTAAAAATAAAAATCAACCTGCCATATTACTAAACAATTAATTTATTCCATACTTTAGCAGCATACTGTTTAGTAAATGCTTCAAAGGATTTGATTTGCTTAACTTGAATGAAATATACAATGTTGGGATTATTTTGTAATAAAATGAAACTTAACCATTAAATGGTATTATTTTTATATAAATATTTTATATTTATATTAATGTTGAGTAGTGGTGAGAGGTATGTGAAACTTCTCATATGGTCCAAATGCTACTATCCGACCGACATCATAGATGTCTCTGTGGCGGATAGCGACTTGCGAAGCAAGTACCGAGTGCGGCGACCTCTAGCCCAGGTGGACTAAACTACTGTTATTAAATATGATTTGGACGAAACAACTACTCAGCGGGCAAATACCCCGACCTGCATTGGATTATACCTTCAAATCATGATAGACCGGTAGCCAATATCATTTGTCAATTCCTACCCAAATATAGACCGGTTTCGAACTTATTAGTTCTCCTCAGTATGTCGGTCTATGTCTGGTTAGGAATTGACAAATGATATTGGCTACCGATCTATCATGATTTGAGGGTATAATCCAATGCAGGTCGGGGTATTTGCTCGCTGAGTAATTGTTTCGTTCAAATCATATTTAATATATTAATGTTGTCTGGTAAGTTTACCAATATTTTACAATGTAATATTCCTCGTTTTAAAGTTGTTCTACTTATTCACAATTAAAACAAACATATTAACTATCCCAGTTCACTGAATATCCACGTATGCGTTTTATATAAAATTAATTAAATTTCCTTAATAGAGAATTAGTTGTAATTCCCTTGAAACTGGGTGGGAATTTATATCGTACGTGGTGTTTATTGATGTTGGTAATTTACGAACAAACAGCCGAGCCGTGCATATTAGCAATTGCTTAACTGGCTATGCGTGGAAAAGTTAAAAAAACACAAAAATAAAATCATCGAAACATACTTTTTTGTTTCAGCCATTTTGCTAACAAGAGCAAGTGTCACATAGAAACTTATTGGTGATTGTAAGTATGTTTTATAGTTATTTTCATTATATTAGTTTTCATATTTTCATTAATTTTTATCACCTAGAATAATATATAATTGTATACCTACCTACGTGTTTAAAAGAAATAAATTCTTTAAGTTTATATAAAAAATGTAATCAAGATAAACACAGAAACTACATTTGTCAATTAATTGATACAAAAAATTTCTAATCATACTATTACCTAAACATTTATTTACGAAATGAAGATCTTCACGGCCTCATGTATTAACTCTCATACTGTTTGAGATACATCTGCCGGGATTTATCAGGCAATGAATTTAGAGTTGCTGCATTTGCAGCTTTATAAATCTCCGGTGGATTATCGCTGTCACTATCACTCATTTTTACTTATGACAGAAATGGCACGACTTGTCAATAAACGTTTTCATTTGTCAAATGAATTAAAAATGTCAGTCTACTAGGCTTCTTGCAAAATTTTGTTCATGTCTGCAGTTGTTTGTACGAAACAAATTTAAAATTTTTTTATTTTACTTTTTGAGACAGCCTAAAAAATGTTGTGTGCACCTCGGCCAAATGATCTTTTTCGGCCTTATCCGAAGTTTACTTGACCTCGGCTGCGCTTCGGCCGCAAACTTCAGATTCGGCTGAGAAAGAACAACTTTACGGCCTTGGTACACAAATAACTATTATTATGATATTCATTTATTGGTTATTTCTTATTCTCTTTATTCAATATTATTGCATTTACTTTTTATTACCTACATATTACGTATTTATTCTTGTATAACTACATAGTAAAATTATTTGTATAAACATAAACCCACCCACGCACAAAGTTTCTTTCGTGGGATCTCTTTTTGTTTGCCATTATCTTTAATGTTTACAAGATTTAAACTAAACTTTGTATTTTATTTTGGTAAAAAAAAGTTATGTCCTAAACTTAATGACACATTTTATTGAAATGGATGAGTATATATCCCTCAATAAGTACCATGTTTAATTGTCATTTTCGTTTTCCTACTTCATCCAGAAGCGTGACCACGGGGGTGTGATTTCCTCTTTTTAATGAAAAAAAAGGTACACCAGTGATCAAAATTATTTCTTTTTACTTTTCGAAATCCAGTCAATTTATCAGTAAAAAGTCTCTTTTTAATTTTTCCGTAAAACGTACCATTTCACATTTAAACTTTATTTAGAATTCTTTGCAAATGTATTAGAAAAAGACAAGTATATATTTTAGACATAAATAAAATAGAAAAAGCATAACTAAACGTATTTTACAAAAGAAAATTCAAATCCTTAGAAGAGCTGTTCAAAATGCCCACCATCCACTTCGATACATTTCTGACATTTCGAATAATTATAGTATTCACAGCGGTAGATATTTGGTTTAGTTTCCTTCGTGTTTTCGAATGCTACTTGAATTTTCACAATAACCCCTCTCTTATTGCAACTGGCTTGGCATACACTTTGTCTTTTAAACAACCCCTATCCAACGCTCTGGGTAATTTTCATAGAGCTATTCGCGAACTACTCGTCCAAAATATTCTGGAGCACTGGCCAGACGCATCCAACTGTCATTGCTGATATCAACGTTTGCAAATTTTGAACGGAGTGTAAATATAATTTTTCTCTGTGATTGCTGAGTAAAATTCGAAGTACTTGATTTTGATACCTGCGATTGCTATGATGCCTTGCGATAACTTAGCCTATCGTTGTCATCAAATGCTATGAGCAATTTATCTTCAATTATTATGATTCTCATGTTTTCATTTCTATTATCATCATGAATTTTCTCTAATTTTTGTGGTGTTTATATTATTATACTATATTTCGTAAACCAAATAAATTAAATCGGCGATGTACATCAATATGTACTCGTATTGATGGACGTCTTCTGTCTGGAAAACGCCTATGATATTCCTTAGCTGCCGCTTGAGCACTACCGTCACAAAATCCGTATATGAAATGCACATCTTATTTGTGAATAAACTTGGCATAATAATTATAAAATTAATATTGTAAAAAAAAATATTTGTATATTATGAGGCTTCATGGTCAAGTGGTAAGGACACTTGATTCTCATTCTGGGGACCCGGGTTCAATTCTTGGTTGAGGAGGTAAGATTTCTTCTAAACCATAAATTAACCCTAACATACACGAACATTGGGTTTGTATCCATTATCTCTAAATGTGTAGCCCTCTTCAGGGATACACGTGATTGTATTACCTGTAGTGTTTATATATTTCAACTTGAAAACAACTGACAGGGAAAATCCTGTTTCGGTATTATTTGACCAAAGCCAACAACATCAGAAAGCACACGTAAACGTGATCAATTTGCAAGGAATTCTAAATAAAGTTTAACTGTAAATCAATACGTTGCACTATGCGCCGATGGTGAAGGTGCCGTTTCAAAAATCTGTAACTTTTTCATTTGTTACTATAGACACATGAAATTCGATATACAGATATAAAGAAAGGTCTGGCGTTCAGTAGTGATGGTAAATAATTTTTATTTTGTTTTTATACATTTCATTTTATAATTATTGTATAATGATAACATACAGCGTGTAATTTATATACACAATTATATGTAAATAAATATTTATTGTAATAGTTGCAAGGCTTCTTCTTCAAGTTCCACAATCTTGCGTGACACAGATTGTCTTAAGCTCGTTATACAAGGGTCTAATGTATACAATAAAGTATGAAAAAGATCTTCGTTAGTAGCTTTTTGGGAACATTTGCGAGAATGATGTAACCTGAAACGTTCATAATCCTTATTTCTGGATTCCTGTGCATCTTCGGACAACTGGCTAAGCGGTAATAGTGCATTATATCGAATTATGTTTTCTCCATGAATGAGTACTTTATGTACAGAGGAGGGCATATAGTACCATGGATATTTGCTCACATATAATTCGGCTGTTCTAAAAGCATATTCACCAAACTTTTTGGCATTGATTGGCATACCACTTGACATTGTCTGAAGTAGTATACGAAATCTCATAATTAATTCTTCATCAACTCTAGTATTTTGTACAGTGCAAGCAGAATTGGCAAAGAGCCTTCGAGCGGTATTTCCGTCATTACTAGTTCTGCTGATTTGTCGAGGTTTATCAATTAGTAATCCTAAGTCTTTCCGAAACTGCTCCTGTACGTAAGTTTTTTAGATTGTTTTTGCTTTTTCATGTCCTCTGAGGTTGCTGACCATTTTTTAAATGATAAATTATATGAAACATGAAGTACTAACTCCATAACTCGAATCCATGCATGTAAAGATGAGAGTCCAAATCTATAATGCTGTTCATTCTCAGCTCTCTGTTTAACACGTTCCAAATCGTTAATTTCTGTTAGTATTGCAAGACATATATGGCATGTGGCATTTGATGGAGTATTTGTTACTACTTGTGTAACCTTACCATCTATCATTGTAAAGAACAGCTCGTGTTTAATAGACATCTGCTGTTCATTCTTCACTACAAAAGAAGGCAAAAGAGTGCTTATTTGAGTTTCCACTTCATTGACAACAGATCTTGTTTTCTCTGGAGTCTCTTTTGAGAATTCTATTAAAATGGGCCTACAATATCAAACAGAGGACGTGGTTCAATTTTTTAAACGACGTTTTTTGTGACTTCATCTACAATTTGTAGTGGAACCAAGGATGTTAAAAACAAGTTAGTATCGGATATTACGTCACTTTCACCAGACAGTATTTGCTTGTACTCACTTTGTCCCGAAGATCCATCACAGCCTCATTTACTGTATAATATTAATTGTGAAAAGTTGGCCACATTCACAGAATCAATTTTGATTATTCTCTAACATGTGTGATCAGTGGCGGATTTAGGCTTGCTGCCGCCCTAGGCCCCGTTTGATGCGCCGCCCTTTTTGATGAAATGAATTTCATTAATTTTGATCCAATATTTTTATTTTAAAATCTTTTTATTTTATTGAAATATAATTTTTAAATATAACTAATAAACATTACAGATGAATAAGTAATAAACTTTAGACAGATAAATAATAAATATATTTTTTTTAATATTAATCAATTTGAAAATTTCTTTTTTCCTGGCTTTGGTCCGCGCAAAAACATCGATTATATCGTCATAATCAACTTCTTGGACTAGTTGAGCTTCAATAGACAGTAATGCAAGAGCATTAAGTCTATCTTGGCCCATACTTGCGCGTAAATAGGTTTTTACCATTTTCAGAGTGGAAAAAGATCTTTCTCCTGAACAATTTGTAGCCGGAATACTCAAAAAAATACGTAGAGCAATGTTCACATTTGGGTAAACATCTCGAAGACTCCGTGAATGCAATACATTACATATTTTTTGTGCAGAGCGTACATCTTCCGTATTTGCTAAGGAATCTTTGAGTTGACAATGTAAATGAATATATTCATTCCCTAATGTCTCTTCCAAATCATCAGGATACTTATTGACAAGTTTATTTGCAAGATTTTTCAATTCGTTCGTATCTATTTCAGATAAATTATCGAAAAAATTGAATGTTTCGTAAAGCTTTTCATATGCACTTTTACGCCTGGCCAATTGCACACTCAGAGTGTCTAAAATAGGGTAATAAACATTTGTGCGAAAATTTTCTTCAAAAAATTGAATATGAAAAAAGATGGGATTTATTTTTAATGAAAAATTATTTTTATAAACAAAAAATGTTCTGACTTTTGAATGAATACCAAAATGATATTTAATACATGCAAATCTACCGTATTTCTATTTCACACTGAAAACAAATTGAGAAGTTATTCAGATTTAGTAATTTCAAAACGCTTAAGTGATTTAAGATTAATCTCACTAAAGGAACAAAAAGTAAAGATACAAAAAGTAAAGAACATTACTCGATAAAGACTATAATTGATCTATTAAAAAATTAACATCTTACCAACAGATTGAAAAGTAAATTAAAAAATTTAATTATAATATATTCTATAGAAAATTTTTTATAAAAACTAATCTGAACCAATTTTTAAAATGGATTGTCTTTACTTTTTTTCGCCTCTACAATTTTGGCATTTCAAACATTTTGCCGCCCCTCAAATTATGCCGCCCTAGGCCCGGGCCTCACGGGCCTAGGCGTAAATCAATCACTGTGTGTGATCTAGAAGAGACTGCAAACTTACTTTAGCACCAATTTCAGTTACTTGCATGTGCTCTGGATAACATTCTCGCTTTGCTTCTGTAAGTTTGGTATATGATGTGAGTACAGTACAGTATTTGTCTTGTAAATAGGGTCTAAGGTATGTATATTGGTTTTTCGTTAAATCTAAATCAATGAAAAGAGCCAAGGCCTCTTAATTTGTGAAAGGCTCAACAGAAGTATTAATAATGTGTGGATAAATGCCTTCCTTTCTTGTGATGCAGAACGTTATTCCTGTATAATTTCTGATTTCCATGTCTCACCAATTTAACGTAATCCCTGAGTGCATGAATGATAAATCTGATTAAGTCCAGACTCTCGAAATAGTTTTATTGCTTTTCGTTTCTGTGTCTTCTCTGCGGATTCGTTAAATGACTTACATGGTCTCCCTCGTGGGTTTTCAGATAAGGACGTCGATGGTTCTTCGTCTTCTTGGAATGGTACTAAAAATTCGCCATCTAACTGTTTCTCGTTGCTGCGTAAACACACATTCCTTCTTCTTCCGGCTTTATTCCAGCGTATCTTAAATTCGGGCAATAAGTGTTTCTGAATTTTGATGATAACACATTGCAACTGCTCTTCAGAAAGATCGAAATGCTCTTTAACATACCATTCTACTGTTGATATATTATGTTTTCCGTGCTCTATAAAAGCGTCACTTATGTCACGTTTAGTAATTTTGAAATTGTTCATTGTTTACTGTCGTAGGTACAGCTGACAGCGGTAAATTATTGATTACTATTTATTAATGCTGCTTGTATACATTAATAATAACCTAAAGTTTTAACAAACCCAAGTTTATATACTTTCCTAAGGACAATGGTCACCGCAGAATACACATCCCGTGTATAGGTGAAGAAAGAAAATATTTTCTCTTTGGTTTATTTTTCATGGCCAAAAAATATTTTTTTCAAATTATATCGTAAACCATTTTTTCGATATACCACTTTGTTTAATAAATTTAACAACTACAAATATTTATTTGATTTTTATCTAACCGCAAGTCACTCGTAAACATATTTTGTCAAACTTGGAATATGGTGGTGCTGCTAAAAAAAAATCAGTTGAGACCGTCCCGATATAGGATTTCTAAAATCCAGGCATTCAGTGATTCTGATTCTGATTTGTTGTAATTCCATAATGTATATGTATTCTTTATAACGCCGTATTTTGCAAATTCATAATTCTTACGGAACGAGTATTGCAGATTTTTAAGTGTTTGTCGCGCGCGCTTCTTTGTATATTTTGTTGATTTGCAAGAGAAGCGCAAAAATCCGCAAGATTTTTTTTTGGATCTTATACAGGATCGTTTTAGTTGCCAGATGGTGAAAAAAAAAACCCGGGCGAACCCTGCTAATAGTTAAAATTTGTCTTGAAGTTGAGAAAGTCAATCCAGTAACATGAGACATTTATCATTCTTTTATTATAGTAAGGGATAAGCAATATACAAATATGTTTTATGTTTTTAATACAGAAGAACTGCTCTTTGAAATGGTGTATAACACATTCCACTTTAATTAATTTTTAAGCACGAAATTGTTTATTTAAAATAAGCATCAAAACAACACTTATCTAAATCTCTCCATATTCCTACTTTTGAAGGCTACTAACTGAACCCAGTCAACATTTAAATAAATTACCGGACCGAATTATAAAAGTTTGATGTATTAGTTATAAGAAAATTGAAGTTTGTGTTCCGTATTTGGTTTTTGGTTTTTGGTATTTTTGAGACAGCCCATAGTGCGTTATACAGGAAAACTGTAAACAACTTTTTTACTCGTAAATTGACTATAGATTACAAAAATTGGCGTACCTTTTTTTAACTTAAATAGAGAGAATCATACCCCCCGTAGTTACCTCTGGTTGAAGTTGAGAAATGAAAGAGACAGTAATTAACCATGATACTTGTTAAGGAACATATACTTACCAAATTTCAATAAAATATTTCATT